ACGCACCGTGTGACGGGTGCGCCAAAATGGCGCGGGGCCGCCATGCGAGCCCTGCCACTGGGGCCTTTGGTGGAGCCCCCTATGGGGCCACAAACAGTGTGAGGGGTGTGCCAAAACGCGGGGCCGCCATGCGAACCCTGCCACTGGGGCCTTCGGTGGAGCTCCCTATGGGGCCACGAACCGTGTGAGGGGTGCGCCGAAATGGGGCGGGGCCGCCATGCGAACCCTGCCACTGGGGCCTTCGGTGGAGCTCCCTATGGGGCCACGAACCGTGTGAGGGGTGCGTCAAAAGGCGGGGCCGCCATGCGAACCCTGCCACTGAGGCCTTCGGTGGATCTCCCTATGGGGCCACGAGCCTCGTGAGGGGTGCGCCAAAACGCGGGGCCGCCTTGCGAACCCTGCCACTGGGGCTTTCGGTGGAGCTCCCTATGGGGCCACGAACCGTGTGAGGGGTGCGCCAAAATGGCGCGGGGCCGCCATGCGAACCCTGCCACTGGGGCCTTCGTTGGAGCTCCCTGCGGGGCCACGATACGTTGTACTGGGTGGGTGAAACGCAGGGAGGAGGGAGGAAGAAGAAGAAGAATAGGAGGAGGAGGAGGAGGAGGAGGAGGAGGAGGAGGATGGGGGAGGAGGGAAGGAAGCAAGGAAGGAAGGAGGAACGCGGGGCACCGTCTCTTCAAAACGAGGACCCAACACCACAGGATGGTTGGGAAATAGAAGGAGGGAGGGACGTAGTGAGGAAGCCGAAGGTTGGCGTCCCTTGGCGGGAGGAGGACCAGGAGTAAGGAAAACATGAGGGAGGAATTGGGAGGATGGGAGATGGAGGTGGAGGAGCAGCAGGAACAGGAGCCAGAGCAGGGAGAAAGGAGGAGGAGGACTATTGCGAAGGCCTTACGGCTGGTTCCGCCGACCCTGAAGGGGAACGACGACAACGGCGGTGGCGGCGGCGACGACGACGACGACGACGACGACGCTGACGTGGGTCAGAATCCTCATGGATGCTTCTTGGGGTCTCTTCGAGGCGCTCTCGGGGGCCTTGGGGACAGTTTAGGAGCCTCTTGGGAGCCTCGTCGGGGTCTCTTGGGCGCCTCTTGGGGGCCTCTCGGGGCTTCCTGGGGGCCTCTTGGTTCCTCCTGGGGACCTCTCGGGACCGAGGGCTCGAAATGTCCGTTCTGGTCCCTCGTCTGGTCACCCTGTTGGAGCCATCTTGGGGGCCTCCTGGGCCGTCTTGGAGGCGTCTAGGCCCGACTTGTGGCCCTTGGGTTGGTCTGGCGGCCCTCTTGGGCCGCCTTGGAGCGTCGGGAAGCGGATGGGGACGAGAAAGCCATGAAAAAGCAATGATTTGTCCATTTGGGATCCTCTTGGAAGTGCACCTGGAGGCCTCTTGGGGCGCCTGGCAGGGCTCTTGGGCCGATTGGAGGCCGTCAATCCGTCAAGGCGCAGATCGTTCGGCGATTCAGGTCCCTCTTGGACCCTCTTGGGGGCCTCTTGAGGCACTCTTGGCCCGCCTTGGGGCTTTTTTTGGAGCCCGAGGACCCCCCCGGTGGAGTCGTATCTGACCAGGGACCCCCCACTGGGGCCCCCCGGGAGGGAGTCGCATCTGTCTCGGGACACCCCCCCATCCCGGCGGGGGAGGGATCAAAGGGAGGGAAGGGGCTTCCCTTCGAGTCAATTACGACATCGTTCAATTTCGCTTTGGCTGGCGCGGTTGAGGAGGAGGGCCTAAGGAAGAGGGGGGGGGAACCGGCGACGGGCCCAGCGCTCGAGGTGGAGGGCCCAGGGAGAGGGTGGGCGCAGGGAAAGGGGACGACAGAGACGACGACTAACGAACGACGGAGGCGACGACTCGAAGGGACAAGCCCCTCGCACACGCCGACAGGGCCGGCGCATTCAGAACTCTTGAGAGCAGGCCGGCCAAATCTCCATGGGAACGATGGCTCTGCGCGACCAGAGGCGACGGGCCTGCGCCGCCCTCGTCGAACATTACCCTGGCGGCGTATACCCCAACCTCGGCGCACTGCGGGGCACGAGTGCCTTGGGAGACGTTCTACGGAGGTGATGACGTGACATGGAGAGAGAAGCTGAGTGCAAAAACGTACATGAGCACGAAAAACTGCCTCAGAGGGTATCGCAATACCGCGTGACGGTCGCGTGCCAGGCTGCGATGGACCGCGCTGAATCATGCCAAAGATGACGTGACATGGGCGCACATATTTTTGCGAGCGGCATTCGAGAGGCTCGCGACCCCGCAGGGACTGTGGGGTCCCACTCAGACCTGCGCGGTGCCTCACTCCGCTGGACCCACCAGCAGCCCTCGAAAGTGGCGACAGTTTCGCAGATCGCAGCACCCCAGGGACGGCGAGCTACCGCGCAGATCTGCACGGTGCATCACTCCGCTGGACCCACCAGCAGCCTTCGAAAGTGGCAGCAGTTTCGCAGATCGCAGCCCCCAGGCACGGCGAGCTACCGCTCAGATCTGCGCGGTGCCTCACCCCGCTGGATCCACCAACAGCCCTCTAAAATGGCGACGGTTTCGCATATCGCATCCCCCCAGGGACGGCGAGCTACCGCGCAGATCTGCACGCTGCATCACTCCGCTGGACCCACCAGCAGCCCTCGAAAGTGGCGACCACCAACAGCCCTCTAAAGTGGCAGCAGTTTCGCAGATCGCAGCCCCCCAGGGACGGCGAGCTACCGCTCAGATCTGCACGGTGCATCACTCCGCTGGACCCACCAGCAGCCTTCGAAAGTGGCGACAGTTTCGCAGATCGCAGCCCCCAGGCACGGCGAGCTACCGCTCAGAACTGCGCGGTGCCTCACCCCGCTGGATCCACCAACAGCCCTCTAAAGTGGCGACAGTTTTGCAGATCGCAGCCCCCAAGGGACGGCGAGCTACCGCGCAGATCTGCGCGGTGCATCACTCCGCTGGACCCACCAGCAGCCTTCGAAAGTGGCAGCAGTTTCGCAGATCGCAGCCCCCCAGGTGCGCGGTGCCTCACTCCGCTGGACCCACCAGCAGCCCTCGAAAGTGGTAACAGTTTCGCAGATCGCAGCTCCGAGGCACGGCGAGCTATCGCTCAGATCTGCGCGCTGCATCACTCCGCTTGTCCCACCAGCAGCCCTCGACAGTTTTGCAGATCGCAGTCCCCCAGGGACGGCGAGCTACCGCTCAGATCTGCACGGTGCATCACTCCGCTGGACCCACCAGCAGCGCTTCAAAGTGGCGACGTTTCGCAGATCGCAGCCCGCCCCCCCCCCCGGACGGCGAGGCTTCGCGGGAGACAGGAGGCGGGAGGCAGTTGGCGGGAAGCGGGAGGAGGAGGAGGAGACGCGACCGTGGTGCTCTATTCAAAACGAGTGCCCATCCAGGGAGGGTCGGGAAAAACCATAAAAATATAGCCAGAGTACAGTATCCCAAAACAGGGCTTTTCCAGTGCGGGTTGGCATGGCATGCTAGAACATGCCTCCTCCTCCTCCTCCGCCTCCTCCTCCACCTCCTCTTCATCCCGAACGGCATCTCGGAGCCCAGAGTTGCGAGGATGTCTCCAGCGTAACGGGCTTGACCACCTCGCGCCCGGCATCTCGGACCCCAGAGT